TTGTAACTTGCACAACAATGAACATATATTTGTATGTAAAACTATTCTCAAATATTTATTTTTGTCTCTACCTGTCATGATGAGAAACACACTGTCCCCGTTATTTTAATGTGACCTTATATCGAGTAAAATCAATTATTTTCTGACAACATTAGACATTTGACGTATAAAAGTGTAGCACTTCATTGCAAAATGGTTGTCATAATGGTTCAACATCCGTATACATTAGCGCTTGTAAATATGAGCCCGTGCAGATGCCTTCGTGCACCCTAAAAATCAATAAGAATTCATTACGTAAAATAAAATATGTGTTCCCCTTTATTGATGATATTGTTTATTCTATTGGTGATCCATTTTAGATGGTTGATACACCCTTAGGTTCATAAGTCTCTGGAAACTCACATATCTAGTGTTTTAATTAGCAGAACGAACAGGAATGGTGACAATGACCCCATTCAGAATGGATGATCCGAGTACTTATTGATCCGCCGACTAAATATGGCCGATCCCAGTTCAAAAGCGATGCCGCCGATTCCTGACGGTCTCCCAATCTCCACACGCGCCGTTGCTGCAGGGGCCTAGCAATTAAACCTCGGAGCAGAGATATAATCTGTTTAAAGGCGCGAGGGGAGTCGGGGAGACCATCAGGAATCAGTGCCATCGCTTTCAAACTGTGGTCGGTTGTATTTGAAAGGGGCCATTGTCATCTAAGACTTCTGATGACAATTAAGGGATCGCACTTTTGATGTTTTCCCATCTTGTCTGCAAAATTGCCGTGTGTCTTTAACGAGGGCCCGTGTATTTATTGAATCAAAGACATTACAAAGATGTACAAATATACCTGTAGCTGGGAGTTGTTTGGTCCGCTTTGCTTGTATTTTCCGTTCTGTTAAGAATTGTTATATGCTACCATTCAGATTTCGCCTGAAGACGTTATCCAGCTTCGATCATGGTTTTGATTTTTGCAAAGGTCGTGCAACAAGAACTCTTTATAAAGAGGCCTAAGTAATATATACAGTTCTATATTAGAACTAAGAATGACGGTTCTAAAACTGTTATTCCTTGGGCTCGATAGAAAAATATGTTAAATATGAAACTGAAAACAAGCGTACGTAAGACGAGCCTTTTTTAGCTACAGTAGCAATCATCTCATTTTCATAGTCTTTATTCATAATTAAATATACACCAAAGCGCAATTGATCAGAGAAATAAGTAAACAAGAAAAAAAGATCAATTGATAACACAACATGTAAGGACGGGTAACAAACATTGTGAACATTAAGGTAATCTCCAATGAAAAAAAGTGGAACAGATTTTTTAATTATACCACGTATACAAGACAATGGACCTTTCTTTAGATTGTGATCGCCCTATCAACTGGGAAAGAACGAATTCTATAAGTTGTATGAGAGTTAAAATCACTGAATGAGGTTCGATTCAATTCGACATGGGGGAACTTCTTGTTCATTTATCTGATCCCCAATCACGATGAAGTCAATTCACGTTGGCACTCTATGAGCATTGATTGAACTTTTCACCGGCGATATCGGCAATTTCACTTTCAGCAATTAACTATCGGAGGGACACTGGACATTTTTTTCGTTTGTCTGCCGGCGTCTTGCGCCTTAACCCCGTTGCTGCAAGGATAAGGAGAGCGTATAAAGTATGGTGAGCCTACGACTTCTGCTTTTCGGGGTTACTGTAATAGTTTTTGGTAAGTTTGACTTTGGCAAATCGCACTAGATAAAAAGGGCGTTTTCTTACTTTAATAAGAAAAAAAATAATACTAAAAAATCACTTACTTTGCTATGTAGCAAGGCAATATAATTACAATATTTATACGTGTGATAGGATGCTTTTATCTTATGTATTCTGAAAATGTTATTTCCAAATGTTATTTCAGAATAAAAGCTATATTCAATGTTTGGTACACTGTAACATCCATTTTAGTTGCACATTATTACCTCCGCCAAGGAGGTTATGTTTTCACCCCTGTTTGTCTGTTTGTCCGTCTGTCATCAACATAACTCAAAAAATTATAAACCGATTTTGATGAAATTTTCATGAACTGTCGGAAGTGGGCCAAGGAAGAGGTGATAACTTTTTGGTGGCGATCCGGATCAATAATCAATCAATAAACAATAATCAGAAAACTAAGTTATGGACCGATTATGATGAAATTTTCAGGAACTGCCATGGAACAGATGATTAGTTTTTGGTGGTGATCCGGATCAATAATCAATAATCAAAAATATCGAAAATTTAGGGGTGAAACGGCATTGGATGGAGACTTTGCTGGCTTTGTGGAGGTCTGCGTTCTCTGAGTGCTTTTCTAGTTATTATTATTATTATTATTGTTGTTGTTTCTCTCCGGCAGATGCGGCACTATGCAGCGGTAGCAAGCAGAATTTGGCTAAAGGTAAACCCGCCTATCAAAGTTCTACCTACCGAAATGAGTACCATGCCAGTCGTGCTGTGGACGGTAACTATGACGACAGATTCAGATCCGGGGGTTGTTCTCACACCTATGGTGGTCAGGGGCAATGGTGGCTGGTGGACTTAGAAACCACTGCGGGCGTCATCGGTATTATGATAACAAACCGTGGCGACAGTCATTGTACGGTGATTCTGTATTTGGTATACATTATCAATTTAGTCAACATACTCGTATTTCGTTATTGTACATGTAAACCGTAAACGTACAACAGTAAGCTATGATTCATTCAAGATTATACATTTGCAAAGTGGGCAAGGAAATGTGTGATAATTTTCTCACATAGCGGTACTTTATCAATGCGTGTATTTACCGGTATCCACTGTACTACCTACGGATCTATGATCAAAAGGTTACATCAAATTGAACATATTGATCACTTTTGTTTTCAGCTGACCGTTTGAATAATTTCGAAGTGAGAGTTGGAACCTCTTACGAGGACAGTTCATCATTTACCCAGTACAAACTCTGCGGCAGTTACCCGGGGGCGGCACCTGTGGGGAACACGTCTCTGTCCTGTGGGTTACCATTGAGAGGACGATATGTCTTGATCATTAAAGTTGGCAGTGACACCCATGCGTTGCAGCTTTGTGAAGTGGAGGTTCATGGTAAGTGTGTTTCTCACAATCGTTTTTCACAGGATATTCCCAGTCTTACAAAGTTCCGAGGATGAATTTTTTTTCAACACAAATACGCTACTGCACAATGCATAAAGGTACTGTATAAGATATTACTTTAGTTTTTACAACGTAAGGCTATATATTCCTTACCCTCGGTAGTTCAAAACTGAGGACAGATTTTTGTTTGCATAGATCGTTTGCAAGCCAATTGGTTATTAATTTAGACACAACTTTGCCAATGTACTACCACATGTGGCGTTGTTAAGTACACGGTATTAATATGAGCTTTAAAAATGCAATTAAAATATGCAGGGATGTCAATAAATCACACTTATTCACTTAACAAAGTTCATATGATGAAGTTGGCGAAAACCTGACAATCAGCGCCGTCTTCGTTCCGAACGCTTTGTTATAGTCCCGTGGTTGATAAAAGCCATTTTTTGCAGGTATTTCGTGTAGAGGTTCAACCAGGTTTCGTCGGGTAGCAGCAGGTGCGCGCGCACCCCTTGTGCCCATGTCCACGCTGAATGTGGAGAGCCTCATCGAATGCAGCATCTCCTGTATGAATCACTGGGAGTGTGTGGCCATAAACGTTTTCTGTGCCGGAAATGACCAATGTTTCTGTGAACTTCTGCCCAGTACTGCCCTATTCGATGACTTGCAGGCAAGCACTGGCTATGAATATTATGAAGATAACTGTTTGGGTGCACTGTAGGACGACATTGACTATTGGAGACCGTTCACATGGAAAATCTATTTTCTAAAAATCTAAAAATCTATTGGCGGTATCTTGTGATCACGGTCTGTGCCCTGAATACCCCACGGCGTAATTACTGGCAGCGCGAGCCAGTTACCTCCAAAACTGTAATTAATTCTCGGCTACGCTCGGAGGAGATTCCGACACCTTGACGCATGCGCAAAAGTATCTCTAAGCTGTGGAGTTCATCAGTTTACTTGTGACGACTCAATTATGAAGACGGCCGAAAAGGCCTTGTTGACACGAAGAGAGAGAGAGAGAGAGAGTTAAACTTTTGTGTATTCATCATGACTCAATTTAATTGTATGAACGTTTTAGAATATATTGATTTCATGCAGTGTGATTGACAGTTTCTGTTCTTGGCACGTGAAACACGAACTTTTACATAGTAGGGGTAACATGTATACGATTGTAACGTGAATGCAGCCGAATAGTGTATTACTTACCAGCACTGACATCTGGTCACCAAGCTTTCTCAATTGCATATAAATAAGGCTGAATGCCTAGTCGGCACTTGAAGTTTGGGATTCGAACAAATTAAGAAGACGTCGTTCCATCTCTTCTTCATGTCTTGGCGGTGGAAATGTATATTTTATGTATTTGTCCTTTCTGTTTGTATAACATGACAATAAATTCTAAAAAAAATCGAGAGAAAATACTGAGTTCGCTGTTCCTTTTTTTTTTTTTTTTTTTTG